TTTTTCTGTGGGAAAAGCTCCCATTGCCTTGTGCTCCAGCTGTGGCCAAACTGGCATCTATGAACTTGATCTATGTTGCTCAGCAATTGCCTGGGGTGAAGTGGGGGGCAAAGGGCTGTGGACAAGGTGGTTCAACAACCTGCTCCAGGTGTGTTTCAGATTTACCATTTCCTTCTGGTTTGCTCCAACTTGGTTGGAGACTGGAAAAATCATTGAAGCAGCAGCTCAGGGTTTCAAGCAGCTATTACCTGTACAGAACCATCCTGCTCCGTGGCACAGGAGACTCCTCTTGGGGACAGCAGCCCGTGTCTGACACCAGGGGGAACTGTCTTGTCACAGGAGCCATCGCCGCTCTCCTTCTTCAGCTTTGTCCGTGTCCTCTGACGTGCCCTGCAAGTTTGGGCCACTGCAAACTCTGCTGGCATTTCTATGCCTCTCGGTGGCGCTGGCTTTAATTTTAATGTAGCAAGTTGATCAGCTAAACGTGAACTCCTCATGGGAGAAATGCAGCTTCTCAGTTGCTGCATTATGCTGGCATATTGGACCTATGTGTTGTGGGACGGCAGTGCTGCAGCTGGATATGGGGCAGTGACAAATGCATGCAATTTATCAGAGACTTAAAATCTGAGTGGGGTGGGAAATAGACTGTTCCAGTGACAGCAGCAGTTGGGAAATGGATTATATTCCCTGTATAGTGAAACAGCAGTGCCAGAGTTCTTGCTGGCATTCTCTATTCCATTCACCAGCCTCTGCCTTCAGTGATGCGAAGTTCATGTGCTCCTTCCTGCTGATTGAAATATCATGGTTAGAAATGTGGTAAATGCAAATTGTTCTTCAAAAAAACCATTTTCGTCATGTCCAATGGGAGTTATTTCACAGTATTTCTTTAGGGAGAGGAATGAAAAATGCAATATATTAACATTTTTGTTTTACATATTTTTGTAACAAGCAAAATCAGACAGGAAAAATTAGTGGATTTTTTTTTTTCCATTTTGAAAACAATGTGGTAACCTTGACCCTGTAAAACACAGATCTAGAGGTTTGGGTGTGTATATGGTGAAAACCAAGCTCTAACAGTGGCTACCAAACAAATTAGGAAGTTCTGCTTACAAGTGACAGCAGAATTATTGCTAACTTCAACAGAAACTAAATATATGTGGTTAAGTGTCAGAAAAACATGTTTAATAGTTAGAAATAGTTCTCAATTTTTGCTTTCATTACTGAACTTCAATTTCAAAATAATAACTCTGGATGACACAGAATTTCATTGGAGTTTCAGGTGTCCTACAGATTTAAGAAACTGAAGTTCAAACAGCAAAACTTTGAGCAGGACTAGGTATGTTCTTAAAACAGAAAATATTTCATTCAGTGGCTATTTTAGAAGTGGTGTGTTAATGGCCTTTGGCAAATATGCATCATGCTTGGGCTATGACTACAGAGGAAAGACATTACCAGATGGGACCTGAAAAATCAACAGTGGGTCAGCAGAGATAGTGCAACTTCAGATTTTCTTTGAAAAATTATCTTTTTTTTTTAGTGATAGCAGGACTTGGGACTTGCATAGATCAGACTTGTTCCCTCATTGTCCTGCTAAGACTAGGGCCTTATATCACTCACAAGGTCACAGTGAGGGACCTCACAAAGGTTATAGAGACAAAACAGAAATGACAGAACTTAACCCATAACCTATTAATTCATTAATAGTTTCTCTTTGAAGAACATCATTAAAATTTCAGACTACCCTGGGCCAGGACTTCAAATCCACTTCCACAAAATTCTGAACCCAAAGGAAATATGTGGATTGTGACTGGTCCTTCTGGTGCCAGTGTTGGAAATGTCAGCTTTCACCACTGAGCAATTTCCTAGGCCAAACTGATGCTTTGACCAGCTGCACTTCTAAGCTTTTTGCAAAAGTTTTTTTGTTAAAAAAATCCCCAAGAATCAAAAAAAAAAAAAAAAGGAAGAAGAAATGCAAATCCTATTGTTTTGGAACTGTGTTGTAATACTTGAATGAGGTGCATTCACAGTGGCACCTAAAAAAATACTGATGTCCATGTATCTCACTGCAAGCAGTTCAGCTAAATATGGGTCTTGCTTATTCTGTTTTTAAGTAGAACATGAACTATAGTCATGAACCTGCCAAGGACATTTGGATTCAGGTTTTCTAGTTCCTCAAACTTAACCCAGCTGGGAAAAGATTTATAGTAAGTGTCAGCGTGATTCTCAAAAAGGAAAAAAACTTGATAATAATGAAAAATTAGGATGCAAAGATAGCTCATCAACTTCAAAACCCCAAAGCCCAACACCCACCTCCCAAACCCAGAGATTTCCTCACCTTCTTTTTGCACATCTAAATTCTATTCCGTGGATAGATACAAGTGTGCGTGCATTTCCATGTATAAATTGTGACTTACTAAGTAAGCAAGAGTCTGTCCTTAATTTGTAGCTGATGAAAAGGTTTTATCCCATACTGAGAGAGTGATTTACTTTCTCATGGGTAATGGGGAGGAACTGGATGTTGCTGCTCCTCAGGGATGTGTTGATCCAGTCTAAGGATAAATGTGTCATTAGTGCTGTACATAGAAAAGCTTTGCAGGTCAGAAACCAACCAGGCAGTTAGAAAACACCAGTTTCCTGCTGCAGAGGTTTTGAAAGAGAAGTTGAGCCTTTAAAAAAAGGCTACAATTAACTGAAAGTCCAGTTCTTAAAGAGACATCAATGGACTTTCTGCCAGGCTTGAATGGTGCAGCACAGCAAGGGCAGCAATGCCTGTCTCAGCTTGCAGCTGAACCCAGACCTGGTAAAGTTTGCTACTTGCTGCTCTCAGAGCACAGGTATGTACCATGGGTGCTGAAGTTTTTATGGAGAATTACAAGAATACTCTTCCTGTTAATACAAACAAAATGAAAATGGTGGTTTTGGTTTTCACTTGGGTTTTCAAAGATTTACTGCTGCTCCCATGAGGAGGAACCTGCAAAAACTAGCAGTCTGTAGTGGAGTCAAATGCCTACAAACCCCCTAAAGTTTTTAATCTCACACAAATGCTCACCTATTGAGCAACAAAACTATGAAAATAAAGGCCAACCATAGTAACTTGCAAATGCATGGCATAAAACTTGACAATGTTATGCTGGCAATCCTTGGAAGCATTCCGTTGTACAATGTGACAGAGAGGGCAGGAGTGCAGGACTTCAGAAGTGAAGTGAGCTTGGAAGTGAAGGTTTTTGGCAGCTTGCAGAGGACCCAGGGCTGTCAAGGCAGTTCTGACACACAGTAGCAAGTCTGCCCTGCCAGAGGGAGATGCATCTGGAAGGAGAGGGACACATTGTGCTGCTGATGGTAGCATTGCTGGGGAACCACTGGGTCAAAGCAGCAAAAACCTCTCCTTTCCTGGAGAGCTGGCATCAAGCTCTGGGTTTCCACCTTCCATTCTGCAGACAGCACATGGATCATATTTAAAGGTGCCTTTTCCTTTTCCCACTCAGTAACTCACCATTGTCTGAAAAATCAAAGGGAAGTTAAATAAACCAAGTGTGATTGCATTGCTCAGTTTGGCAATCCACTGTCTTCAGGCTGACTTCAGGCTGATAACTTCTTGTTTAGTCTCAGAGTCTTCCTCTTTCTTTCTGCACATCTTGGCATTTCCTTAAAAAACATTGTAAAAATACCATTTCTTAAAATACCACCTTCTTGGAGGGAGTGACAAACAAAGTTGCCTTATATTACTTGATTAGGCAGACTGAATTTTGAAAAATAATTTAATTTCAAGTGACACTCATGCTACACTTAATCTTAGACAACAAGTCTGGAGTCTGGAAGACTACTTATAACTGAAAATTACAAAGTTGAGCATAGAGAATATATTTCCACCAAATACAAATAGCTTTAGTAGAACATTGGGTTCAGTTGGGTTTTTTACTGTAGATTGTGATGAATGTCCAGTAGCAAAAAATGGAATACTTGTGTAATTATGGGAAAAAATTACTCAATGGACACACTCTCCTGCACATTTTCTAGGAAACAAGGTGGTACCAAGGTCCACAAAGAAAGGCCCTACTCCTCCCCCTGACAGTCTGAATCAACTTTTTTGTTTTATTTCAAAAGTGAGAGTGTTTCTTCAGATTTGACATATTACCAGTTCCATCAGTGTACAGAAATAGGGTTCCTGTCATGGACTTGTTTTGTCAGACTGATCCTTGATTTTTCCTTATAGGGTGATGTCAGCTTCATTATTGGCAACAGTTCCTTTTTCCACTCCCTTAACTCTAGTCTACAGTGCCAACAAATTCTCCTTTACTTTTGCAGCAGATGATGACAGGGATGCCCAGGTAAAGGACTCCATTCTCTGATGGACATTTTGCATCCCCAGTGCATTGTTACTGCAGGAGTAACAAGGATATTTGGAGGCTGTGCAGTGCACATGGGAAATGTGTCCTCTGGGATGCATTAAGTCTGGGTACAACTGCAGTTTTCCCTGGGGGAATCAGCTGTGGTGGGAGATGCCCCAAATCCTGAGGAAGGTTATGGTAAGGAGAATGGGCAAGTGATTATTTTGTCCCCAGAGCCATTGTCTGTGATAGTGTAGTCATGGCTGGTGTTTACAACATGTGGCAAGCAGGGCATGGGTGAGAGGCAGGGACTTTCTGTGCTCAGCTTGATTGTGCTGTATTTGGACCAAGCACAGGGATATCCAAACCCACACTCCTAGCTCCCATTGTTCCAGAGGCTGCTGATGTCCACTGGTCAGAGCCCCTGGGGATGTGCTCTGTGAAGGGCTCCACTGAGCGCTGGCATTTGCCTGAGGCCAAGCCAAAATGGAAATCAGGAGATACACCCACTGAGCACATCTCTAATCCTAAAGGATGGATTAGAGATCCTTGCTCTGATTGTTGCATGCTATAAACACAGAATGAACAGGTGACACTAAACACATGTTCAGAAATAATGCCTCCTTTTTTTTAAAACAGTGTGATTTTATTACAAATGAAAGCACAGTTAAAACATTTGTTGCAATCAATAACCACAAAATCACTTCCTTATGGATACATAGCATCAAAAATACACCCCTTTACTATCAAAAATATTCCCCTCTCCTAAAACTTAGTCGCCATTCATTAAAGAGATTTCTCTTCCCTTATAAAAAATGGGTTTAGGTCTATGTACATCAGTATCACATGCAGATACACTGACACATGCACAAGTTCCAGTGATGAAACTGTTCAAAAGGTTCCCTACTCTCTTCCTTTTCTAGGCACAGAGCGCTCCTTTTGTTTCTACTTTCCCTCTTCCTTGCTCTTGATTCCATGTCCAATACTGACATATTGTATTGCTTTTGTTTTTAAAATCTTTGCTGTTTTAGTATGTATCTTTAATGGTTAACTAGAGGCATGTCAGTAATTCAGGGCAGCCTTTAAGGCTCTTCAGATGGGTAAATGGAACCCCTCAGTGGCTGCTATCCCTGCAGAAGACACGTATTGATACATTTCTCCTTCTGAGACCCTTTTAGACGAAGACAGAGCCATCCTGGTCACTGGTGTTCTGGGTTACGTTGCTGTTCACCACACTTTCTGCATAACTAAGTGAATGAGAGACCTGGTAGTGACTGCAGGGCCCACAGAAACACAGGAATGGACAGTACTTCAAGCAGACATGATAAAGGTATTTCCTGAATTTTTCCCCAGCAAATGCATAGATAAAAGGATTGAGACAACAATGACTGAATGCAATGGTTTCAGCCAGGTGCATTGCATAGTCCAATGACTTAATTTGGTTGCAATCTGTGAATAACTCATAGTGATTTAAAGTATCCAGAAAAATCAGTACATTGTAGGGGGACCAAAACAGAAAAAAAACCACCACCACAACCAATATCAGTTTTATGGCTCGGGCTTTTTTCTGATTTTTGCAGGACAGAAGAGTTTTGATGATCCCACAGTAGCAATAGAATATGATACAGACTGGGATGAGAAAGCCAATGGTGTTCAGCTCCATATTGCAGAACACTGGCCAGATGTTCTCCAGCTTCTCTGGGAGGACAGCAATGCAGTAATTTTCTATAAGCTGGGAGAACACAAATTGTGGCACCGACACTAGCACTGCTATTGCCCACACTCCGCAGCTTACCAGAAGGCCATGTCTTACTGTCCTGGATCTCAGAGAGTAAGTTGCCCTGACAATGGCCAAGTACCTGTCGATGCTGATAGCAGTGATAAAGAACATTCCCCCAAAGAAACCAATGTAATACAGTGAGGAAACAGCTGTACATGCAGTGGTCCCAAGGGTCCATCCACGGGCCGTGTTGGACGCCCAGAACGGGAGGGAGATCACAAAGAGAAGGTCAGAGATGGCCAAGTTCAGGAGATAGATGTCAGTGATGCTTTTTTTATTGCCTTTCACAATGGCAAAAACCACCATTAGATTCCCCGTGAGGCCAAGAGCAAACAAGATGATGTAAAATAGTGGCAGAAATATTTTCCCAAACTCTTGGATGTCGGTTTTATTGCAGAAGAAAGCATCTTCATCGTAAATGTATTCAGTCGTGGCTTGTGAGTAGGCTTCCGTCATGCTGAATTTGCTGGCTAGAGGCAAAATGGAAAGAGTAAAGAAAATAACATTAGAGTGATCTTATATGTACTATGGTAAATACTGAAAGACTGCACCAAGCATACTTTGGGATTTTGTCACTATTTATTTTAGTGAGGGTTGTGTTACTGTGGAGCTGATGGTAGTTATGTTATGACAAAAGCCCAGACTCTGCTGTTACATGTACTTCACTGAAAATTAACTCTTTAGAATAATAAAAAAATTAATGAGATTTTCAAGGGCTGTCACATAAGCCCCTACTTATTGAAGTGCAGCAGGAGCTGAGCTGAGATCTGGCTGAGCTGTGCATATGATGCATGGCAGCACCACGAGCAAGGCAGGTGTTCTGTTGGTCTGTGGGCAGTGCTTGGCAGGAAACGATAGTTCACAAGTAGATGTTGAGCAGATTCAGTGCCTATCAACACCCCAACAGCCCCATCTTCCGCTCTCACCAGCCTTGGGCTGGAAAGGGTACAAGGCACCCAGTTTGGCCAGGCCTGAGCTGATGCTTGCTGATAAGGGAGGAGCAAGTCTTTACTGAGACATTGCTGGCAGCAAGCCTATCTTTGATGAGGCTTTTCTAAAAATCATCCTATGATCAAAATAAGAGAAAATATATTGACCCTTTTCCTCAAGTAACAAAGCATCTCATGACTGCTCCTGCTCTGGCTGTGAGGCTGGAGCCAGGAATTCACCTTGGCTGAATCCAAAGAGACTGTGGGGTGCAGGTGTGTGACCTCTAGGCTCAGTGGTCTGCACTTCCAAAAACAGAGCACCTGTCATTTCATCTGCTCTCCTTTAGAATGTGGTGTTCAAGTCCCTGCAAAGATTTCTGTTTGCAAGGAATCAAAAACCCTCTAGGAGTGCAGATGTTGCTGTATTTGATCTGCTCCCTGGTTGGGTAAAGAGCTTGGAAGTATCCATTACTTGGTCTCACTGTAGGAGATGAAAGAAAGTATGATACACTGTCCAGAAGCCCAGGGAGGTGATTACATGGCCAAACCAGCCTGTTAAAGCTGAGACTGAAAGAAAAGGTCAGTGATAACCAAACTGCAACTAACAACTACCCCTTGGCCACATCTTCTCACAGGAACCCCCGCTGCCTGTACAGAAGGGAGTCAGTTCAGTGACCACAGGCTGCCTATGTTTACATCTCCTGTTCGTGGGAGATGTAATCAGTACAGCCAACAAAGAGCAGTGCATATTCATCCAATGCAGGTCAGGCCAAATCTGCTTCAAGACAAGACAGACTGCTTTCCAGACTGCTGACCACACTGATGAAACTTCTTTTCCTGGATATAAGGTGAGCATGGACACACTGCTCAGTAGTGGGTGCTGATGGTGTATAGCTACTCTGACTCCTGACACAGCTAAGTGATTGGAATCCACATTTCAGCAACAGCAATAGTTTTTATAACTTCTGTTTCAAATAAGCCATTCAAAATTGAACTTGAAATAAAGATGTCCTCAGGTGTGAGACAGTTTTCTATGACATGGTGGTAACTACAACAATCTTCCCCATGAATAGCTACTGTGACCATACTGACATTTTCCCCTAATGCCTCATTGCCAGAGCATCGTTTGTGGTGTTGGCTGTGAAGTTCTGGCCTCTTATTTTGTAGCAATATCTTAAAGAGTGTATTTTTTGTCTAATGCAGGCTCTCAATTTTAAAACATTTTTAACCGGAATGTTCAAACCTGAATGTCTGCCTAGAGACTCTAAAAACATCTTTGTGGTTCGCATACAGGAAAAGTGGGCTAGAAAAGGCTGTCTCAGCACTGGTAGCTCTGGGGCATGGGCACAAAATGGGGAGAGCTCTTTGCAGCAGGCAGGCACCCCCATGGGCAGAGTGGCTCTTGCAGTATCTATCCACTTGAACTGTTGGAATCCATAAGCTTAGAGGATTTTTAAGAAATGGTTAAAAAAAAAAGTATGTAGGCCTTAGATTGGAGTTTTGTTAGCATTGCAGAAAAGTTTCCCATGCAAGCAGAAAAGTTTCCCAAGCAGTAGACGTGACAAACAACAATAGGCCTCTGTAGAATTGGCTTTAGGATGGCAACAAGGTTATTTAATGTATATCTTTAGAAGATTAGTATGAATAGAATTCTGTTCTTTGTCTCTTATGAACTAGTCTTTGTTTTAGCTACCATTACGTATGTTTTATAAGATTGGATAGAATGCTTGTCAATATGTGTTTTCTGTGTGTGATTGGCTGAACTCTAGATTGAGATGATTTTATGTATTGCTGTATGAGCCCTCTCGGGGGAGACATTTTTGAGGTGGATCAGTGAGCTGTCATGTCTCCTTTTTGTATTCTGAGACTGATGTGCTGGAAATAAAAGCAAAAATCTCTTCACTGGTCTGGTTACAATGTTGTCCATACTGGACATTTTGCCGTGGCCTAGTGGGTTCCTTTTTCAAGACGTAGGTTCCTGACACAATTGGACTTATATCTACCGCTCACACAACATTGAACTGGGAGCCAAGTCTGCATTCAGAATCTGTCCAGCCCCTGCCTGTCAGCCCAGGGATAACAGTGGCTTCAATTCTCCAGCCTCTGAGGAGGGGGTATCTGGCACCAGCACAGGTAAAGGGATACAGGGATTACAGTGGCTTCAATTCTCCAGCCTCTGGAGAGGAGGTATCTGGCACCAGCACAGGAAAAGGGATACAAGCTGGAAAAGCTTAGGTGCTGGGGCAGAAGCTGACAGCAATTGCAAAAAAGATATTTATTTTCTACTGGTGACATAAATAAAGAGTTGCCATCTCTTTATCTGCCCTGTTGAGTGATACACATATGAGCAGGAGATATCCCATATAATCTCAATAACCCATCATTTTCTGCCATCCCATTCTGATTTCTTTCTTTCTTAGATTAAATGTATGCAGAAAAAGCAGCAGGGTGCCAAATCTCCTGTGCTGAATACGTGTCACTGTCAGCCCTCCCAGCTTCTTTGCCACTGAGCTGTTCCTGCGCCCATCTGTGCACCCAGAGCCCACGCCTTTCTCTGCGGGCTCATGTGCTCCACAGCTGGTTCTGCACTCAAGCAGCAGTGGCTGAGGGCTGCACAAGGGACTGACTGGGGCAGGAGCACATGGCCCATGAGAAGGGTTTGGTCAGCCTCAACAAGAGATGTCTCAAGAGGGATTTAGGGAGAAGGTGTAAAGGTGAAGCAGACAACTTTCCTCGGGGGCATAAATAGCAATAGCCATGGGAAATCATTACTTAATGTATTGAAAATAAATTTTTGCCATGATGGTGGTCAAACACCAGGACAGAGCTCCAGAGAGGTTGTGGTATCTAATCCCTGGAAGTACTTGAAACTCAGCTGGCCCTGCTCTGTGCATGGGTTTGGACAAGAGACTTCCAGAAGTCCTGTCCTATCCCTGTGACTCTGTGGCAATGCCAGACAGAGATCGTGCTGTTTCTGCAAACTGCTCCAGCTTCTTCTCTGCCAAGTCAGCTCCTGTTTCAGACATGTCATTCCTGATATGACAACCAGAAGTCTCATCAGACAAAGAGGAAAAAACTGATCAAAGCCTGCTTGTATCCCCTTAACACCTTTGCTAATTATGCTGTCATCCAGAGAGGGCTGTTTGGTGATGCTTGCCCTGACTGTCCGTGCAGTGTGAAATCCCTGTTCTGGAGAGAGGAAATGCACATTGCTTTACTCTCCTCTCTAAGAACCTTGAGCTATGCTGGTTTTTAACATGCTTGCTCTCTTAGTTGAGAAAGGAAGCTTGTCTGAAGAGTTTCCATATGTGTCTGTAGAATTCATTGTGCTCTGTTGGACACAGGATATCACACAAATAAGGAAATGCAGCTCCCACCAGGGACTAGCCCTCAGGTCTGGCAGAATTCTGCACAGACTTCTAAACTGGACATTGCCTGGAGAGAGAGTTGATTGTGGGAATGGCCACCTTCTTCACTGGAGAATGTTTACACAGATGTACAGGAGAAACTCCGGGCCTCAGTGAAGTAAACAGAAACATTGCTTGTGCTGGGATTTTTTCTGAAATACCTTTTCAGTCAAGTAATCTCCTCTAGTTTACTGATGAGGATCATTAATTTCTACAGTAACAAATTATTTCCTTTACCCTTGTTTGGGTGTTTGTGGGGTCTGTGGTACCTACAGCAATGGAAAGGTAAGACTGTGTATTGCATGTCCAGAGGCAAGCAAGGACTGCACTTACTAAAATGACATTGGTGTTTGAATCTGCTGGCAGTCTGTGGCTTATTCACTCTCTGTCTCCTGGATTTCATTTATCAGCAGTCACTCATATCCTTCCACCACCACTCATGCTGCACAGGCAATGCCACCAGCACTGTTTGAATATTTAGCTCCTCTGATACCACTTTGCTCAGCTTCAACTGTTGATACTCAGTGGATGGGCTGCAAATTTCAAAGGGCTCCCAGAACCCAGCCCATGCCAGATAGGGATAATGTGTTGAAATTATATTGCACCTTAAAGAGAGAAACTTAGATCTGACCATCCTCCATCCTTTCCTGTCACATATTCTCTGTCAGGCTCTCAGAGTCCACTGCAGCACATGCTGCAGGTTTCTTACCATCAGCTTCAACACAATTTTCTCTTTTATGCTTACAATAAATGTTCACCTTCAGAGTGAACTGAAGAGTGTAGAGGACACAGGAGGACTGCAAGGCTTTGAGGTTTCTCCATGAAATATTTTCCCTTGCTGACTACAGGAAATAGTAGATTCACTTCTGCTTCTCATGGAACTGCTCAACCACTTTTCTCTCTCTCTGGATTTCCCCATCAATTTTACACCCCATTCTTCACAAACACTTCTGCTCCTAATCATGTTTGTAGCTACCTCAAAGACCATAGTCTGCAAGACCAGGACCCCTGTTTCTCAACCCAACCACCATGTGCACCCCATGAAATACAGAGGGAAGAGAAATTGCAAGAGGTCTGCAAACTCCTCTACGGAACAGAAGTTGCATTTCAATCTTCAAGCTACACTGGCACCAGGCTGGGTGACATAAGAGCAAATCCTGTTTACAAGTCTAGATATCAGATATATCAGATTCTTTCCAGGTATCACCCCTGGCACTTTAGCCAAGTACCATGTTACAGGCTTTACTGCCAAAAAGAGGGAGATCAACAAGCAGTTTGCCTCCCTCTCATGCTGCTCCTACCACCAAATTAAAAGAAGCGAAAACAATGACCAAATCCAGACCTCTGCTAGAGGGTCACGCTTCAGATTTGCACAATATGCTAATAAAAGTATTTCAGCCTCAGAAGGATTTTCACACCTTAGTCAGCATTTCTGAGTGATGCTTACATGCTTTCCTCATGCTAGAAAAAACATGTTTTCAATGCACCCGGAATAACCTGATGAATCAGCTGGCCCTGGGAAGCTGTAGGCTTTGTGAGAAACCCTGTGAAACCCTACAGGTGTGTGAGTATCCCTTTTTCACCCTTAGATCTGAGCTGCCATCGCCCCACCCAAATATAAATGCTCTTGCTTTTTCGCATTTGCAACTACACCCACCTGCTTCTTACAAGCTGGTGATTCTCAGCAAGAACACAGGGATGACCTCAGGCACCTCCAAATGAAATGTTGAAACTATGGTGGCACTTCTAATACACAAAAGAAAAGAGATTAAAGTAAATAACCAGAACTGGGCAAGAACAAGGAGGAGATAACACTCTGGGTAAAACTTAAAAACCCTGGCAAGCAGCTACCACAGAAATTTGATTGCCACAGACACCTCTACCCATGGTTTAGATAATACACCACCCCAAACGTAGGTGTTAGGGTTAATACATTAACCAGAGATGGGGCCTGGTTTCTAGTCCCACACCCTGCTAGTTCCTGTAATTAACTTAGTTTATTTTTCAGGTCAGGGTGGTTCCATTCATAGGCAATGGCCTGTGGAGCTGGTTGGGATCATGTTAGATAGCCAGGGGTCAAATGCAAGCCCATCCCACCAAATGCAGTTACTTTAAATCTTAAGTTTCATTCAGTCCTGAAGTGGGGACATGTTTCCCTATTCCACCTCTACATGCAGACCTTTGAAAGTGGGAAGCAAGGTGAGAGGGCTGATCTAACCTAACCCTTAACTCAGGCAAAATGAATTTAAACTGTTAAGGGGCAGAGTGCAGCTAAGGCCAACCTGTGTGGCTTTGTAGAAGAGGATTTTTAGTTTGGGCATTTGATGGGATTGTAAGGCTGAAAAAGGGAGCTGTGTGGGTGAGTTGGAGCTCTGACTTGCACTGCATGCTTATTTGGTAACACGTCTCCAGCCCAAAGAAAGACCAACAAAGCATTGCAATGGGATTTGGAGCAGTTAGATATCAGATCTCAAAAGACAGACATCCATGGAAGAAGCCTTGCTGAACTGGGAATATTGCTTGTAAAACATCTGTGGAAATGACAAGTTGAAAGCCAAAAACTCTTTGGTGTTTTCATCATTGTTCTGAAAGCACATTGGCAATGAGAGCTGGTAGGGGCATGTGATAGAAGGGTTACAGGACTAGAGAGTGACTCAGACAATCTGAATAATCTGGGGCTTCCTGGATGATTCACGTTGGCCCTAATGGAGCCAAATGTAACCAAAGTAACATGCTTGGGAGTTAAACAACATGGGCCATGTCTCAACAGTGGGGGCATATCTGAAAGGAAACTGCAAGAAAAGCTGATGCAACCCTCAGGTGTTAAAAGAGCTTCCATGTGGGAAGGAACAAAAGAAGGATGACTTTACCATAGCAGAGCTTGATACAGGGGATGCAGGAACAATTTGGTAACATCTGATTTCACTTTTGCTTGTGTTAATAATCTTGCTAATTATTTGAGTGGGATTCCCTGCATCACTGTATCCTTTACAGTGATGCAGGGAAATTCAAACCAGAAACATGCAAGACAGGAATAAGATGAACATTTTTAATAATGAAAGGCTAATGACTGGAACAGACTTCAGGTAGGAAAAGGACATTTTTTGCATGTCTGAGGGTCTTCACTTTGAGAAATGGATTTAGGCCAGACATAGTGGAGAAGCTCAGTAGGAGGGTGCTGGATTAAATCCTACAGCCCTTGACAGGCAGGGAGGCAGATCAGGTTGGGGCACAATTCTCTGAACAACCATTACTCTCTCCTGGTGATAAACGACTGGAAAAGCTAAACCCTTTGAGCTCTGCCCAGCACCAGCTAGCTCAAATCCTGGGGTGTGAGCCCTGGAAGGAAGCAGGGTCCTGTGAAAACCACAGAGCAGCTGCTAGTGTGGGGTTAGCAGTGAGGCTATCGTGATAGCTGTGGAAAGAAAGCAGCACAGTTTGGAGAGGTTATTATCAAATAACCACCCTGCTGAAACCTGTGTATTTTCCCACCTAACCAGTTCTTTTTTCATTCCTCCCCAGCTTCTGAGTGAGTGTGGAGTAGTGCCACATGCTTGCTGTCCCTCCAGCTCTTCCTTGATGACGTTTAGATGAGGAAATTTCTTTCTTTGGTGTTTCTTCTTTTTTCTGTCATTTACTCTCACATCAACTGGACTATTTCTGTGGCCCATCAGAATTCTGCAAACCTAATAATTGCTTTTCAATTTGGTAATAATTTAATTTATGGAGGCTTACCCCAGTAATTTGAGGATGAGTTTTTTAAAAGCAAGTAGTTCTCTGGGATGCTTTGTTATTGAATTTTCCAATTTAAGGTGAAGTTGAAGGTGCAGAAATGTGATGCTGAGGCTTTCACAGAATTAGGCTACTTAAAGTGTCATAAGTAAATGACTCAGAACTAGAAGGCAATAAAACCACTGCTGATAAGAACACGACTGAATATTGCAAAGATCTTGGATCCCCTTACAAAAGTATTTAGGTCAAATATTTTTTTAAATGCCAGTTCACTGATCCAATTCTACGGTTTTTACACCAATATCACAAACTAAATTAGAAGCAGACACCACTAGCTGAAAATGAGAAGCATGTAAACCCACAAACTCAAACCAATGGTTTTTGGTGGAAAAATGTATTTGGAAAGATCAGACTTTGATCATGGATGGCAGGAGGAGATAATGCAGAGTCCAAAATCTCTAGAGTCTCTCTCACTTTTGCCTAGGGCATTACAGTTTTGGAAAGTGCTTTCTCAATGATGCTCCATGCATACCTGGAGGTAGCAGCAAGTAATCAGAGCACAAGATTTATATCAGCCCATCACATCAAAATTAGGTGTACTCAAAATTTATAAAGAAACCCCAAAACCTCTGCCAATGTCAAGGGCTACATCACCTGTCTTTCAGAGCAACAACAGAGGTATTATTTTGAACCTTGCCCTTGCTCCCTCAGTGCACTGGCCAGGCTGGTGGCCTCACTCAGGTTGTTTGTGCTGCCCCCACAGCAAAGCAGGCACGGGGCACTGAACCCAGGTGTCCTGGGCACATCCTGGCCCCAGAAACATCCCCCCACTCGCTGTTTTTTTGCCCCACCAGGCAGACTGGCTGTGAGCCAGTTGGAAGGGACAGCTTCGCCACAGCAGCGTGTGGTTTGCCAGGGCCAAGCTAAGTCCTGATAAAGCCCTGGCAGCTCACCCCTGTGGTTGCTGGTGTATTTATAGAGGGAGCCGAAGCTTTCAGTGGTTTCATCTCAGCTCTGGGCGGACAAAGCCCCTCTGAGGCTGCCAGGGTGGATATGCAGGAGCCTTGGTGCCTGCACACTCAATGGAGCAGGGAATAGTTTCATGTTTCAGGGCATGAGCGAGTCTCTTGAGCACGTGAAGCTGTTTCAGAAATGACTCCATGCATTTAGGAAAGATGATGTGACAGTGCGACTCAGACTCCCGTGTCTCCCCTGCATGTTAAAATTGAGGTTAAAAATCACTGAAATGGTTCTGAAATTTGCATCCATGTCTCTCAGGGTGGTCTTGATCCTATGCCCAGAAGCAAGGGACCTCTGCAGAGCTTCTGCAGCCTGAGATGGTTTCCCGGCAGTGCCCTGCTGCCAGGGATCAGCCAAGGGATAGGAAATTCAGGAAATAGGGATACTGTTGTAGAGCAGTGCTTATCTTGGTCCTCACAGAGGCTGGGGAGCACTTTAACTCAGCTGCTGGGGAAGCAGTGGCAGAGCTGAGGGAGCAGCTGCCCTCCCAAGAGCTGCCCCCAGGGAACTGTGTGGTTGGGGCTGTTTTCTTGGAAAACTTATTTCACAGTTATTTCATCTAACCTGTAAGTGCCCCTAATTGCCTTTTCTGCTTGCACAGTTGCTCAGGCACTCTGTATCTATTTTTTCAAATGTATAGCTGGACTTTTTCCCAGTGTTTTCTCTTACCTGCTCTTCCTCAGTATTTCTTTTTCCCAGGCTTTCTCTTCTGAAGAAGCATTCAAATTTCTTTTGTATTTTCTGTTGAAGGGACAGCAAAAACAGGTGATTATTTGTAGCTATGAGCACTGTTTGTAATTATTTATGGTTACTATTGGTTCTGTCCTCTCGCTGCCTTTATTGTGGCATCTATTTGCTTCTTGCCCCCACCCCTTTTTGTGCTTAGTAATTTCAAATTGCCTCAGCGTCCCTGAGAAATGAGAGAAGGCTCTTTAGCAGTTGGAGATATTTTAAATCATCTTCCCCATCATTTCTGAGAGCAGAGCACATTAAATCTTCTTGATCATGTATGGCTGAGATTTATCTTCTGGAGTTGCCAGCTCCTTCCTGTGAATATCAAGCTTTCTATGGGATTTAGTCTCAATTTATTATGTGCTGTCTTTTGTTAGATTTTAGCAGTTTTTTCTCCCTTTTGGACTTTTTCTGTACTGCTGAAGCCCTTTTGATTCATTGCAGTTGCCTTCTTTTATCCTGTCATCCAGTTCCCTGCCTCTGGCTGCACACAGGGCTTGCCCCAGCAGAACAGATTTTGGAAACCACTGCTGTGGATCTGTGTTTATATCTCACAAGTACTCCGTGGGTTGCCACCACTGTGGCGTTACTCAAATGTCTCACCCAAACCGGCAGACATCTTCATGTAACATCTTTCCTGTGGAAAGCTGAGTCACAGGAAAATCAAGTATGCTATACAGAAAGGTAAGGGCTTTAAAATATCTTTAATTTCCATTGCTCTCTTGCTGGTCTGTCTGTATCAGGTGCTTTCTATTGACTCTACCAGATTTTCTCCTTTGGGCTGTCTTTCAGTATCAGTGATGTTTTGGACGTTGGTTCACTGACTAAAACTAGAAGCAAGCAATGCTGGTGAGTTGTGCAATCTCTGCAGACATCAAAGAAAAAGCTTCTAATGAAGTAGAAGGGTGGTATCTTCTCACTCTGTCCTTCTAGGTTAATGTTGCACACTAGTCATATATCAGCATTTACTTACCTTGAGGATTTCTACCCAGGGTGAATATTCCTCATACCACAAGATGCCACAAATAATTAGCGACTGAGTAAAATTTATCTGCCCTGCTTCACTTCGTTAACAGAAGTGCTTCCCTTTTTACTTCCACAGTTTGTAAACAGTACCCACATCATCTTTACCCAAATTAAATATCATTTAGGTTCCAAGCACTAAGCAGTGAAGAATTCCCTTAAGTTCATGAGAAACCATTTTGTCTCATTTTGCTCTGTCAAATTATAGGGGAAATATAATTGTCTCTTACCTTAATTCATAGCTGCATTGAAAACCAATGTTTTCTTCCAGATGAGCCTGTTTGGATTTAAATGTGTGTTTCCTCTTCTCTAATGCTCGTGCCTACATGAACGTGTTGGCTTCCTGGGCAGAGCTTCGGGGCTGAGCTGAGAAAGCACCGATGTGCTGTGCTGGGGTCCTGCTGGCTTCTTGTGAATCACCAAGTCGGATGCAGCCACTCAGAGGGACAGAAGTGCTTACAGGGGACAGGATTTGCACAGAGACAGAAGTGGCCTGAGGTACCACGACAGCATGTGATAGCTATCACTCCCTTAATTTCCCCCATTCTACGCAGAATGAGACATTTTTCACTCAGACACAGAACAGTGTGTAGAAATACAAGTTTGGTACAATAGCAGGGTCCTTGAGCTGTGGGGATGCAGGATGCAGCACAGAGGAGTACAGGTATGGCATGGTAGAAGATGGGGCACAGGCTGGCACTGGCACTACACACCTCACAGATGGTCAGGTAAAAAAAATGCAGATCTGGAGATGGTAAAATGGTAGGTTGTGTATAGACCAGTGAAGAGAGAAGAAGGTATAGAAGCATGTTGGAAAACATAAAAAAATTATCTAAAACAGATCAAAGGAAAAAAAAAAGGAAAATCGGGGTGAGCATTGCACTCATCCCAGGGAAGGACTGGAGGTGCTCACAGCTCTCTCTGACACCTCACTTCACCACAACTACCAGCCTTAGGACTCAAAGGAGCAGGAATAAGGGTGAGCATAATGCCAGGAAAATGGATAGAAACTATGTGTGTGCAAAAAATTGAAGCTGCAATAATGTTCTTGTTCTTCTGCAACCAGCAGATTTAAATTGGTAACAATTGGAGCTTTGAGAATGCCATCGCACTCACAATAAATTCTTGGCTCTATCAAGATACATTGTGCCCCTTCTTTGCCCGTAAACAAGATTTTAAGCATAGTGTCTCTCTGCAGCCCAGTGGAGTCAGAAGGTTTAAAATACTGGGATGTTCAAAAATCAAGGACCCTTCTTGGCCCCTGACCTGACCATCCTGCTCAGGGTTGCACCATGAGTGCAGCACAACTGGGATGCTGTGAAGCACATTGCCAGGCACCCCTGGACACAAAAGCAGCTCCTCTGGGGTGGAGCAGGGCAGGAGGATGTGCAGCGGGTGTGTTATGAGAAACAGACATTGCATGCAGCTGGCTGCTGCACCAATACCAAGGCCCTCCAGGACACATGGAATGCGGTCCTGGAAACACCCCCAGGTACTGCCCCTGCCTCAAAAGTCAAGGGAGATTAAAATGCCTTCTCCCAAAAGGCAGAGCTGTGCTGTCTTCAGGCAGGCTGACCTTGGTGGGATTTTGTGGGTGGAGAGTACCTTCCAGGTTGCCTGAGCTGTTGCTTGTGGATTGATTAGCAAGTTACCAGGCAAACATCTTCGTGTAAGTTCAGTTCTGGTATTTCTGCCACATTTTGTGGTTTTTTACTGTATTATGCTTTATCTAGCAAATGTTACATCCCCAACATAGCAGTGTAGTTAAGGTCAAACCTTGATGGGCCTCCAATATCAGCCAAAATATGCAAGTGATATCAGCCAGGTGAGCCAGGACAAGAACCTGTGGAAATAATCAGGGAACTAACTCCTGGAGAGGTGTTAGCCAGGGACAGCAAAGATACACTGCTGGAAAGAAAGTTTAAAGGGTAGGGAATTATAAAGGGCCAGAGCAGTGAATTTTCAAAACTCACCTTTTTCTCTGACAAGTGCCAGCAGGCCACTTTAAAAACAGATGTAAAGCACTCTGCACTGTTTTCAGGACAACATCAAAAGGCTGGTTTCTCCCCACATCCTGAAAGTAGGATCTATGACCACCCAAGTTTAACTTTCAGAAAGATCATTTCTGGTAGATGGTACTAAGAAAATGTTCTCATTGTGTGAGAATCATGAGATTCAGAAAGTTGAATGAAGATTTCCTCAATGCCAGTGATAGTCTGATACAATCAGAGCAGCACTGCTGTGTCAGTAGATGTGCTGTTGTTTAGAGGACACCCAAATCTAAATTTGTCTCCCATGTCCTCATGGGGATGATGGGCTCATCCTCATGAAGGGCTGTGTCCCTCCATGCCCCACCTCCCTCAGCCTTGTAAAGAAGGCACAGAGAGACCAGCCGGAGCTTCCCCACTGCACATGCCAAGCTGGTTTGCTGCTGAGCTGTAAAACATGGGCAGAACCCAGAGAGACACAGCCACCCTCACTTTGGTGGGCACCTGTTGTGTTGGGTCCCCAGGACGAGGTGAGAGATGAGGAATTGACTTCATGTTCTCAGAAGGCTGATTTATTATTATATTATATTATATTATATTATATTATTCTAAAACTATACTAAATAAAGAGAAAGGATACATCAGAAGGCTAGACAAGAATGAACACAGCTGGACTGGGATTGGTCATTAAGTAAAAAAAACAATTCACATGTTGGGTAAACAATTCTTCAAATCACATTCTGGAGCAGCAAAACATGGAGAAGCTGAGGCTTCTCATCTTCCCAGGAGTCCTGGCAAAGGGATTTTTCAGGAACTATCATGGTGACAGGCACCCACTCCTGGGTCACCAATACTCAGCACAGTACCTCTGGTGTAGCTCTTTGCAGGCAAAACCCAAAAAGAAAAGGGAAGTCAGGACTTCCCATATGTAACAGCAGGAGAGGCTGACCCCAGGCATTGCTTACTTCCAGGTAGAAAGAACCTCCTAGCCATAGGGTTCTCTTGGAGGTGGTCATCAACCTCTTCCTCCTGTGTGCCCAGAATTTAACTGGAACCAAGCACAGAGCAGGCTATTACCCTCAAAAGGAAATGAAGTTTGCCAAATTTTACCCACACAGGTTTTATCTGGAGACTTCAATTAAAGAGAAACCAAGTCAAGCTGGCTCACAGAGATCCTCAGCAGGCATCCCTGGGAGACACAAAAGGCATTTTGCTGTATTCTGCTATGAGGGATAAACCTAGATAAGAGTGCTACTCATTATTATGGTGTGCACTCGTAGTGCAGCATAGAGAGATGTGAAACCAATACCACCTGAAAGGCAACTGCCACATCAACCATATATCTGCTCTCCATCTTCAGCCTCTGTTCACTCATACTGAGGACAGCTCAGGAATAAAAAAATTCTGAGGAAGCTGCTGAAAAGTTTTTCATTCAGATGCATACACAATAGATGAAAACATCTTTTGTTTCTCCAAGCTAAAAAAAAAAAGACATTGCATCCCTTGTAACCAGAGAGACTTTTCCTGGGAAGGGCTAGGTGCAGTGTGCTGCTTTCCCAGCTGGGAGGCACACAATGATTTTACAGGAAGAAATCAAGAGCAAAGGAGGTATGTGCAGGGACCCTGTGGATAAAGAGGGGCAAACACACTGTTCTTTTTATTCCACATCCCTCTGAGTGGCCTTCCAAATTTGAAAACTCATTTCTTGAATATCTGGGGAGACCAGAGGTACTTCAACACCACTGGCATCTCCTCCTGCCCTGTGCCAGGCTGCCAGGTCAGCTTGGGGAGGCAGGGTTTTGCACAGTATCACTGGCAAGTTCAAGCTTTGTGGACTAAAGCACTCGGTAAAGAATTGTCTAGTCTGAAGGATCAAAATGCTGCTCTCCCCATCACACTCTGCTTTTGCTGCCATGGAGGAAAGCCTGGTGGTGGTGATTTTCTACGAAAAGAGGCTCTCTTGGTTCTCAAGAGTTTCACTGGAGTCCCCTCTGCAGGCCAGTGGGGAACAGTAGTGGCCTGGGGGTACCTGCACCATCCTCCCAGGATGGAGCCCCTGAGCTCCACAGGATCTCTGGGGTGCAGAACTGCTGAGCGTGGCACAGCAGCATGACACACACCATAGCCGCGACTGCACTGACCCCTGCTGGACATTTTTTCTCTTATAATTTCTCCAAAACTCTCATCTTTTCTGTCAGCTGGGTAGAGGCACTTCTGGAACTGAGCCCCTGCCACATCGGTGTCCTGTTCCTCCCACGCTGTCCTGCAGTAGAGCCCAGCCGGCAGCTTTTGGTGCAGATGTGAGCACCAGCTGCTCACACACAGACACACCCAAAAATCACAGAAATCATTTCTGTGCCTCGCTTTTGAGACAAAACCCAGCAGAGAGAGCCTCATCCCTTCATGGCATTGTTCTGCAGACATGCAAGAAGACAACTGAGCTCTGGTGTCTTTCCAGCTACCACTGGGAGCTGCATTTATTCTACATTAAAAAGGTGGGGATGCAGAAATTACCCAGTGAGGAAGAGAGAAGTCATGTATAGGGATGAAAATGTTTCATCCTGAGGGCTGCTGAAGGGAAGAGTGAAATAAAGCTGAATGTTTGCACAGTTTCTACAAGCAGTAGGAGCATGGCTCAAACAGATATCAAAAATTAAGAGAAACATTTGTTCCCACATTAGAAATGTCACAGAAGGGATAGGGGCATTGAAACACTTTAGTGCTTAGGCTCACTCATGCCTTGGTGACCCCATTGTGATCCTGAGCTCCGGCTGTCACACAGCTGATGAGATGCTGTCCTGCCCTGGAGAGGTGGCAGAGGCTCAGCCAGGTGTCCTGCAGGTGTCCTCCTCCCCTGGGATAGGTGATGTGCCTGTGAGTTGCTCAGACCCACCTGTTTCAGGGTGTACCTGAGTTACACTGATCACTCATAGCGCATTGTGAGGCTGCCCTGCTCGTGAGGTCAGCTCCAACAGTAACAGCAAGGCCCAAGAAAGATGGGAAGAAGCCTTTGGCTGGGCAACCACATCCCTTCCCTCCCAGGCTCATCCAGGCAGAAGGAATGGCTGCAGAGCCACACTCCAACTGCAAGCTGCTGTTCAAGATGCTGAATAAAGAACTGCCTTTCCTCCCTCCTTCCCTCACCCCCTCCCCTCTCTCTCCCTTGTGCTGCTTATGAGAGCTGAAGCTGCTGGGTACATTTGCACCCAGCACCACCCCTGTCTCTGCAGCTGAGCACACTTCAGGGAAGGGTGGTGCTGGGGACACCGAGTTGTGCAGAGATGGTGGTGCAAGATGTGCATGGGTACAGAGACAGATGCAGACATAGGGAGAGAGGAGAGTGGAAATGCTGCCTGCCTTGCAGTGAGCATGGAGAAAGAGC